GACGCCGTTACTATGAACCCTACAACAAGCACTAGACAAGTAAGTCGAGAACTCAATGTTACTCAATCAAAAGTAAGTAGAGTCTTACAAAAAAAATAATCTATACCCATATCACATTCAAATGGTTCAGCGATTACATGCTGGAGATGAGATCGATAGGTTGGAATTTTGTAGATGGATTAACAATAATCGACCAACGCTATACAGGACACTATTTACAGATAAAGCCCAATTTACCAGAGACGGGATAAATAATTCGCGAAATTCACATGTGTGGGCAGAAGAAAATCCCCATGCTATTCGAGAACGTCGTTCTCAGTTAAGGTTTTCGGTTAACGTGTGGATTGGTGTCATAAATAACCAATTAGTAGGTCCTCACTTTTTTGATGGTCCTTTAACAGGGCAGGTCTATTTGAACTTTCTACAAAATATTTTGCCGAATTTGCTTGCCAACGCGAACGTTGCTATCCGAGGGATATATTTTCAGCATGATGGGGCACCCCCACACTTTTTACTGGCAGTGAGACAACATCTCAATAATGTTTATGGCAACAGGTGGATAGGACGTGCAGGTCCTGTTTCGTGACCTTCAAGATCCCCTGATTTCAATCCCGTTGATTACCAAATTTGGGGACGATTGAAGCAACTAGTTTACGCAGTGAATATTAATAACCGACAACAATTAATTGATAGAATTATACATTGTTGTAATACTATTAGAAACGATCCCCAGAGTATCCGTAATTCAATACGTCAATTAACAATTCGGCAACAAAAACGTGTACAGGCTGCAGGGTTCCATTTCGAAAATCTATTTTGAATTCTTTTTATTTTTCGTAAGTGTGTATATTTAGTTAAAAACCCTTAAAAGGGCTACATCAAAAAAACAAACGTTTTTCGGACTAAACAGTCCATCATCATGTTTAAAATCGCTTAGGTTAAAATGCCTGAGCCACCAAAATACATGGGTACAAACCCTTTAAATTACATATAGTTATAAAAGATTATACATCTTGATGTTAAAAAACTGTGATGTTCAGTATTAAATTAAATATGACTTCAGGTAACATACATTGTAAAAATTTTAACAATGTATGTTACCTGAAGTCATATTTAATTTAATACTGAACATCACAGTTTTTTTAACATCAAGATGTATAATCTTGATGACCTTTGAAATGTGGATATATCGTAGAATGATGGGCATACCCAGGACAGCACATCGCACAAATGTCTCAATATTGACAGATCTCGACATCAATACTAGGCTTACTACAATCATCAACCAAAATATATTGAGGTACTTTGAACACATTACCAGACGAATGAAAGGCATGGAAGGTTGGTAATTGAAGGCAAGGTAGATGGTAAAAAAACTCAAGGAAGATCGTCACTCCGATGGTCAGACCAAATAAACTGCGTTACCGGTTACTCTCTGTCTGTGGCAGAGCACCGTGCTCAGAAGAGAGAAGAATGGATAGCAACCATTTGTCAAATACATCCTTACTAAGGATAAAGGATAGAAGAGAAGGATGTATGTATTGTTAAAAGTATTTTTCATGTGGTCGAATATTGGTGCATAACTGGTCGAGAACTGGAAAAAGTGCTGGCTTATTGGTAAATTTGTCAAATAATTGTTAATAATTAAAAAACAAAGATCACATCAAAGATACATTGTATTTATACGTTGTATAAATCTATTTTTAAAATACACAATAAATGGTAATAAATGGTAGAAGTTTTACCTTCAAAAACTAATGAAAATCCTAATTTGGTCGGAATTAGTACATTTACCCTATCAAGTTTTTAACAAAGATGTAAAAATAACATATTTTGTGCTGTTTTAAAACTTTTGTGATTTATGGTATACTGTCAACTACAGGAATTTCATTTTCCTCGTGGATTACTAAACTAACTATTTTCAATCCTAAATATTTGTATACCCGATGATCAACTTTGTTGAAGATGCCAAAAAAATATATTAATAAAAATAGGAGGTAGCCCTAAGCTTCACATATTAAAATTAGTCACAAATATATAGGGTTTTCCATAACACATGTACATACTGCATCAAAGATGGTTTTTTTGATGAAACTCCCAATATTTTATTTTAAATTTAAAATTTGTTTTACTGCCTCGTTACCAAATTTCAATGAATATCATAACGTTCAACGTTCTGTATAATTCAAAAAGTGTACTAAAGCAATGACATCCACAGTTTTTAAATTATTGTTAAAATTCATGAAAATAATTATTGATTTTTTTAATACTTTTTAGATCTAATACAGGGTAAGCCAAAATACAAGTTCATTATTGGTTTAATATTTTCAAATGCATCACCCTGTATTATATATCACCATTATAAACTTGAGTCAATGTAAGTTTATCTGTACATAATGGTTTTGAAGATATTATCAATTGTAGTGAAAATACAGTAAAGGTAGGGGGTGGAAGCTACCACACAAAAAATATAAAAGAATTAAATAAAGAAATTGTTATTTTTATTGTAGAAGGTATTCGAAAGTTATAAAATGAATTAATGATTAATATTTTTATCCAGATTTAGCCATACGGCTCACACTCCCTCTAAGGGGAAAATTCACTCATCCCAGATACCTACGGTATCAAAAGGATTGAGCTCTGGTGGGACTCTTTCCGTGTTATCGAGACTTGGTATGCTGGAGTATCTCCCAAAAATTTTCGGACACATCGGGATGTTGAGAGTAGTACAGCTTTTTGCATGGCCTTGTAGAGATGTTCATGTTCATTCAGACCTAGCTTTTTTATATTTTCTAGGAGGTTCTTTGGAATGACTCCAGTAGTAGAAAGAATAATAGGTATTGTCTGGGTACTTTCCATTTTCCACTGTCTTCGTATTTGAATTTCCAAATCCCTGTACTTGGCGATTTTTTCGTTCTGTTTAACACGAAGATTATTGTTGTTGGGTATCGCCACATCAATTAATGTTGTTATATTTTTATTATTATTATTATTATTATTATTATTATTATTAGTAAATTGGGTAACCCTCAGTTGTGAAATTAGATTATAAGGCTATAGCAACAAAGAATTAAAAGTACGTACCATTTCATTTTAGAAACGCTTAGTCTTACAAAGTCATTTGTATTTAAATGGCGTTGTTAAGTTTTCGGACCAGGTAGAGATTATTAAATTTTAATCTATTGTATTTTTAATTATTATACCTATCACTCAAAATGTTCATCTCTCGAAATTTATCGATAGTACTCAAATACAAATGACATTGTAATAGGATTAAGATTAAGTTTTTCTAAAATAAAACGGTACCTACGTAAGTCTCTATAATAGACATTTCAGTTAGGGACCCAAAAATGTATCTCCGCTACTTTATCTAAGTGTTGATATATTGACACCACAGTTTATTCATTGTTGCGCATGATTGTATTACCGTAAAGAACACATTTCTAAGATTAATAATTCGGAACAAAAAAGTTGAGAGTAAACTACAGGTCATTACAAAATGCAAATTATTTTTTGAAAACCCTTAAATAAGGTCTCCTGAAAAGTAGTCATTTTTGAGATACATTTTTGTGCCACTAATTCGACAAACTATCAGTCAAATGCTCTTTATGTGGGAGTCCTGGGTAATAAAATCCCAACATGATTCCCTAACCGATTCAAATAGCGACAGCGTGACACGCTTTTTTCCTGTAATCCTCCAATAACTGGTCCCCGAATCTAAAATTACTTGCCTGAGCCTCAAGTCTTCACTTCAGACTTGGTGCTCAAATGTTTGGGCCCTACTTGCCTGGGTTTTTGGTTTTTTGTTTATTTTTTTGGTTGGCTCTCGCCGGATTTTTGTTGGTTTTTTAATTTTTTTTTGTTGGCGATTTGCAATGTTTATCGAATAATTAGTGCTACGAACTATCCTCTGTTGGTTTGTGTATTTTTTTCTCTTTGATTTTTGTTTTTCTTTCAATTTTGTTTGTTTCCCAAACAGTATGGGACTAGGGTGGTCTATAAATTTTGTTCTGGCTCTATTCTTTATTATTTCAGTCGCTCTGACCTGTTGTAGTTTCCTGAATATGAAGCGTTCTGCTACATATCTTGAGATGTTGACAGCTTCTCTTAGGCTTGAACTGCTTAAATCCTCTTCTTCGTAGTGATATCGGTGTGTTCCCATGCGAAAGATGCGTATATAAGTATTGGAAGAATGATACTTTTTATTAATCTTGTCCTGTCCCAGGAATCTTGGCCGATTTTTAACTCGATGGGTTGTTCTGTACAGTAAGTTGTTCCTCTGACAGCTGAAATTTCCATTCGAATATCACCGCTTGCCTTTGACGGAGTTTATGGCGATTTTTCATCCGATACTCCATTCCTTGATTTCGTCCAACGTGGTTTGCAGATTGTTAACTGCTATGTCTACATTTCGGTACTTGACCACTATTGCAGTGTTGTCGTCATAAAGGCTTAATAGTATTTCTGGTGTTCTGGGAACGTATGTCTGAATAATGAGTCAATAATGAATTTGTGTTCTGACTTACCCTGTATGAAATTTAAAGAAATTTTTGGTTTTTAAAACTATGACCAGAAGTCATTGCTGTTGTTTTTTTTAATTATACACGTTAAACTTGTTATGATTTTTATTAACATTTGGTTAAAACACTCTGTACAGCACAAGACAACTTTGTTTTTGTGCAAGGACTAAGTAAAGTGAATTTTTAATTTTAAATAAAATACGGAAATAAAGAGTTTTTCATTAAAAAACAACAAATCTTCGATATGGTTATGAAAAGGTACGGTACATTTTATGGAACAATCTGTGTATTTGCCCCTGATATTAAAATGTGAAACTTAGAGCTACCTTCTATGTTTGGAAATATCTTTTTTTGGTATCTCCTATAATAAAATATACGTATAGACGTGGCTCCTGATCAGATCGTTCCAAGTCACAAGGAAAAGAAAATCTTGACATTGACTAGAAAATATTTGCTTAATACATCTAAAGCAGCCCTAACTCATTTAATCCGAGAATCATTAGTACTATCGTCGCATTTACAGGATGTGTGATTTTTCACTTCAAACAGCTCTATACGTCTAGAAAGTCCCATGTTATACGCCAACTTTACTATTTTTGTTTCGTTTACTATGCATTTTTCACCATATTTTGAACATCCTCCGCTACCTTCGCATCTGTGAAGAATAGTGTACAAGGGTCTTATCTGAAACAAGTATATATTTACATCAGTATAGAGAAAACAAAAACAAACATAGTACAATAAAACCTAGAGCTAAGATTAATATTATTACTAAAATTAATATTAAACTCACCAGTCTTCCGGGTTGAACCGCGTCGTAATCCATTTTGCCAAGCTTTCGGCATCCTCTCTGATGCCTTCCTCAGGGCTTCCGAGGTCTCAGTCTCCCAAGCCCCCAGACACAACTACACTGTTCACTATTCACGGCAGTGAATAGTAGTAGTGATCGTGCCGTGAATAGTAAACAGTGTAGTAGTGTCTTTGGGCTTGGGAGACTGAGACCTCGGAAGCCCTGAGGAAAGCATCAGAGAGGATGCCGAAAACTTGGCAAAATGGATTACGACGCGGTTCAACCCGGAAGACTGGTGAGTTTAATATTAATTTTAGTAATAATATTAATCTTAGCTCTAGGTTTTATATATATATATATATATATATATTATATATATAAGAGTAAGAAAAAAGAAGTACTTGTGACTCGTTTGGAAAAAATATAACACTGTTTTTGATGGGTTGGAGTCAATAAAAGGGGCTATTTGTTGACTATTTTTTACTCGAGCTTTCAATTGTGATTACAATTTTTATCAAGAGCTTCTAAAAATACAAAATATCTTACAAAGTTGAACTAGAAATAAATAATGTTGTTGTTAACTCACCAAATAAAATTAGTTATTTATATAAAACTGCTGCTAACATTATTACAAAAAATATTATTAAAAAAATGTTCTATTCTAATAAATGTTTCTCTGACAAATTTAGATAAAGTTTCTTAACAAAAAACAATTGGATTTATAAACAAAAATTGAATAGCTACAATTCAGCCTAAATGACGTAAATAACAACTTAAAAATTTTTATTTTTGACATATTGTCAAAAATAAAATTTTTGTTTAAAAAATTCTTCTTTGTTTAGTAACAAAAAAGAAGAAGATTTATTCATCATTGATAGATGCCCGAAAAAATGTAACAAATACATGGAAAATTCAAAATGTGATATTTTACTGACTGCATAAATTAAATAGAAATTATATAATTATAAATTTTGCTTAAATTTTGAATTTCTGACCTTTTGTTTAAATTATTATCACTTTTGCTAATACAAACCATTTCCAAAAAAGTTCTTTTAAATTTATTACTTTCATTACATAAAATTTTAATATTATCAAAATCCATAATATGGTCTTTGTCTATTACATGCTCTGCCAAAGCACAAGATGGTTTCTTAATTCTACAATCACTCTTGTGAGAAATAATGCGATTTGAGAGATTTCTTCCAGTCTCACCAATATACTCAGCTTCACACTGAGTACAAACAATGCTGTATACTACATTTGTTTGATCTAATTTGTCTATAGGATATTTAGTTTTGGAATATAAAGATGAAATAGTTTTGATGTTCTTTGTTGCTATTTTTATATTGTCAATAACCTTTAATGTTTGTATTAATTTAGGAGTTAAAGATGGTATAAAAGGTAGTGAATGATAATATATGTTTTGATTGTTGGATACAGTGTTTTGAGATTTAGCAAAAAATGGTGTTAAGTTATTTATATTTAATAAATTAGAAAAAAGCATCCTATGTAGCATATCAGGAGGATAAGAGTTTTCAATTAAAATATTTTTTAACAAATGAAGATCTTCTTGTAGATAGTCTGGATGAGAAAGTTTTAAAACACGTTCCTTTAATCCTGTTATAAGGTTCATTTTCATTTTATTTGGATGATTAGAGTAATAGCTTATAAATCTATTACTACATATGGGTTTTCTGAACCATCTAGTTTTCAACATATTGTCTGTATTTCTTACAATTTTCATGTCAAGGAATGGTAGAGAATTATCTACCTCTTCCTCAACTGTAAATTGTATATGTTGATTATGATTGTTGAAAATGTTGACTGTTTCAAGAATTTTGTGTTTAGGAAGTGCCAAAACTAGATCATCTACATATCTTTTGATAAATGGAATGAAAAAAGTGCAATTATTGATACAATCACTAATAACATCATCCATGACATAGCTACTTAGAATGGGTGAAAGACTAGATCCCATAGGGCTACCAAAAATTTGTTTATAAAAAACACCATTAAATATAAAAATATTAGAATCAAAAACAAAGTTGATGAGTGTTTTAAAATGTAATAAGTCAATATTAGTATGTTGCGAAATCTCATTCCAATGTTTTTCAACACTACTTATGATTAAATTTAAAGGTAAATTAGTAAAAAGAGATGTTACATCAAAACTAACTAAAACATAATTTTGTGGTAATTGGAAATTATTAATGAAAGAACTAAAATCAAATGAATCTTTTATGTAAAAATTGTTGTTTAAATTATAAGCATTGGTTAAGATGTCAGTGAGGAGCTGTGCTATTGGTCCATTTGGAGGGCATAGAGATGAAACAATTGGTCTCATAGATAAAGTTGGTTTATGTATTTTAGGTAGAGCATAAAACCGTGGTGCAATAGAATTATAAATTTTGAGTTCTTTTGCTTTTTTATTATCAATAAATTTCTTACTGTTTAATTTTGATACCAGATAATTTGCTTTTTGTTGTAAAGTACAAACAGGACTCCTTCTAAGTGTAGTGTAATACTTAGTATCATTTAAGAGTTCTCCAGTTTTTTGTAGGTAATCCTCTTTATACATTACAACAGTTACGTTACCTTTATCGCTTTTGACAATATAAATTTCAGGATGATTTTTAAGAAAAAGTTTAGTTTGTAAATAATATTTATTTATAAAGAAGTCAAAGATCATTTTTTAAATAAATATTATTTACAAACTAAACTTTTTCTTAAAAATCATCCTGAAATTTATATTGTCAAAAGCGATAAAGGTAACGTAACTGTTGTAATGTATAAAGAGGATTACCTACAAAAAACTGGAGAACTCTTAAATGATACTAAGTATTACACTACACTTAGAAGGAGTCCTGTTTGTACTTTACAACAAAAAGCAAATTATCTGGTATCAAAATTAAACAGTAAGAAATTTATTGATAATAAAAAAGCAAAAGAACTCAAAATTTATAATTCTATTGCACCACGGTTTTATGCTCTACCTAAAATACATAAACCAACTTTATCTATGAGACCAATTGTTTCATCTCTATGCCCTCCAAATGGACCAATAGCACAGCTCCTCACTGACATCTTAACCAATGCTTATAATTTAAACAACAATTTTTACATAAAAGATTCATTTGATTTTAGTTCTTTCATTAATAATTTCCAATTACCACAAAATTATGTTTTAGTTAGTTTTGATGTAACATCTCTTTTTACTAATTTACCTTTAAATTTAATCATAAGTAGTGTTGAAAAACATTGGAATGAGATTTCGCAACATACTAATATTGACTTATTACATTTTAAAACACTCATCAACTTTGTTTTTGATTCTAATATTTTTATATTTAATGGTGTTTTTTATAAACAAATTTTTGGTAGCCCTATGGGATCTAGTCTTTCACCCATTCTAAGTAGCTATGTCATGGATGATGTTATTAGTGATTGTATCAATAATTGCACTTTTTTCATTCCATTTATCAAAAGATATGTAGATGATCTAGTTTTGGCACTTCCTAAACACAAAATTCTTGAAACAGTCAACATTTTCAACAATCATAATCAACATATACAATTTACAGTTGAGGAAGAGGTAGATAATTCTCTACCATTCCTTGACATGAAAATTGTAAGAAATACAGACAATATGTTGAAAACTAGATGGTTCAGAAAACCCATATGTAGTAATAGATTTATAAGCTATTACTCTAATCATCCAAATAAAATGAAAATGAACCTTATAACAGGATTAAAGGAACGTGTTTTAAAACTTTCTCATCCAGACTATCTACAAGAAGATCTTCATTTGTTAAAAAATATTTTAATTGAAAACTCTTATCCTCCTGATATGCTACATAGGATGCTTTTTTCTAATTTATTAAATATAAATAACTTAACACCATTTTTTGCTAAATCTCAAAACACTGTATCCAACAATCAAAACATATATTATCATTCACTACCTTTTATACCATCTTTAACTCCTAAATTAATACAAACATTAAAGGTTATTGACAATATAAAAATAGCAACAAAGAACATCAAAACTATTTCATCTTTATATTCCAAAACTAAATATCCTATAGACAAATTAGATCAAACAAATGTAGTATACAGCATTGTTTGTACTCAGTGTGAAGCTGAGTATATTGGTGAGACTGGAAGAAATCTCTCAAATCGCATTATTTCTCACAAGAGTGATTGTAGAATTAAGAAACCATCTTGTGCTTTGGCAGAGCATGTAATAGACAAAGACCATATTATGGATTTTGATAATATTAAAATTTTATGTAATGAAAGTAATAAATTTAAAAGAACTTTTTTGGAAATGGTTTGTATTAGCAAAAGTGATAATAATTTAAACAAAAGGTCAGAAATTCAAAATTTAAGCAAAATTTATAATTATATAATTTCTATTTAATTTATGCAGTCAGTAAAATATCACATTTTGAATTTTCCATGTATTTGTTACATTTTTTCGGGCATCTATCAATGATGAATAAATCTTCTTCTTTTTTGTTACTAAACAAAGAAGAATTTTTTAAACAAAAATTTTATTTTTGACAATATGTCAAAAATAAAAATTTTTAAGTTGTTATTTACGTCATTTAGGCTGAATTGTAGCTATTCAATTTTTGTTTATAAATCCAATTGTTTTTTGTTAAGAAACTTTATCTAAATTTGTCAGAGAAACATTTATTAGAATAGAACATTTTTTTAATAATATTTTTTGTAATAATGTTAGCAGCAGTTTTATATAAATAACTAATTTTATTTGGTGAGTTAACAACAACATTATTTATTTCTAGTTCAACTTTGTAAGATATTTTGTATTTTTAGAAGCTCTTGATAAAAATTGTAATCACAATTGAAAGCTCGAGTAAAAAAATAGTCA